TCTGAAATATGAAAGCCATGAGAGTTGCCGCGCGCAACTCAATATGGTTGCGTCAGCCAAGACAAACACGCAGCAAATAAGCAACACCGGCTCCTGGACACAGCAGTCGCTAATGTCCATCACGTCTCCACACATCCAGTTTCGGTAGAAGACACTGAATCCAAGGGCGACAAATCAGAAGGGTCAGTCCGGCACTCGTTGCTCTGCTAATCTTTTGCTCAAACGTCCTGCCCCCAGTTCCAAGATCTCCTTCCCGTGCAGTTGAGCACCTCATGTGTCAAGAGTGCCCTCACCCCTACCCGCTGCCAGAAAGCCACACAACACATCCCCCAGCCCATGTTGCCGCTCTCTCTGCTCTGCACCTGAAAGGTGCTGGCACAGACCACGTGAGGCCTGCCAAACTTGGAAGCCAATGCCAGCGGCTGGGTCTTCCGAGATTGCCTTGGGCCAATGCGCCCACGAGACAGCAGGGAAGTTCTGAAGAGTTTAGCAGACTTCAATTAATTGGAGCACCCTGGTTTGCAGGGTGTGCGAGCCTCTGGTGCCCTCACAAACTATATTTTGGTAGCTCACATGCAAACGTACGATTGTTCATGGGCTGACAAAGCCCTGGCCCACAGCCCAACAGGAAATATTCCCTCATGCATTCAGCGAGGTTTCATGCGGATGGGGGCTTTCAACTCATGGGATCTTTCCTCAAGGTCTACAATCACCATTAGTGCCGCAACAAACACGCGCCCTTTCTGAGGTTGTGTTGAAGGACCCTGGGAGACAAATTGCTTTGCCCAGGCACAAGCGTCACGTCGCCGACTTGATATGGTCCGCTGGGGTCAAAGCTGCTCATGGGAAAGGCATCCACGCTTAGCGCTAGGACCAGGCTGCGAGTGAATGAGGGCTGAGAAAGGAGTATAGCTTGAATTCAACAGAACTTGAGCCAAGATGAGCAACCAAGCCGGAACATCCTACGACGCCACAACTTGAAGAGGGGCCATTTCAATGGCTATTTCCATTCTGACAAGGTCTTGTGTGGATTCAAGTGTGTCACACGCCTCAACCTTGAGCCGTACGTGCTTGGCTTAAGACTTTGATCCGACGTGGCTTCCGCTTTGAAATGCTTGAGGACTTCAACATGCTCAACAGGTTGAGCGCCGGGAGTCTGCCCCTCATTCTGTCCCCCCCTCGAACCTTGTCTGTGCCGCTGGCTCACAAGTATGATTCCTAAAGCTTGAGATTTCTCTAGTGGTGATTTACCATTGGTCTGCTAATCACGCAAACCAACAAAGGGGTGTCCAAAGCAAGCCGAGAACCAGAAGGCACCACAGGCAAGATGAAGCCAAGCCTGAACGAACAGGAAACCAAAAGCAAAGAGGAAACTTGCAAACCTCATGAACTGCCTTGTCCAAAATCGTCTCCAGTTCAAAGTCGGAGTGCTCAGAGAAGGGGTCCAGGTTCCTAAAGTCGATGCGAGCCCGACCAGCCCATGCCAGATTTGTTTTAAAGCCTTTCATAAATGAACAAATAAATAGCAATCACATGAATAATGCCCAAACAAGTACCAATGCACCCACAAAAATAGATGTGTTACGTACACGTACAAACACACGCAGGCACAAATACACCAACACACAAACACACAGACACACACACACACAACCACACAGAACCACACACACACACACACACAACCACACACACAACCACACACAGAACCACACACAGAACCACACACAGAACCACACAGAACCACACAGAACCACACAGAACCACACAGAACCACACACAACCACACACAACCACACACAACCACACACAACCACACACAACCACACACAACCACACACAACCACACACAACCACACACAACCACACACAACCACACACAACCACACACAACCACACACACACACACACACACACACACACACACACACACACACACACACACACACACACACACACACACACACACACACACACACACACACACACACACACACACACACACACACACACACACACCACACACACCCACCACACCACACCACCCACCCACCCACCCACCCACCCACCCACCCACCCACCCACCCACCCACCCACCCACACACACACACACACATTTGGGGCGTCATGCGTCAACAACAGCGCTCCCTTCAAAATAGAACGCATGCAAGCACCATGAAACGCATGTCTTGCTGTTTGCCACCAGGCAATGTCACAAGTCTGTCAATGCGGACCCATCAGCTTCCACAACTCCCCAGCGTTGCGGTTCCGTGTTCTGGACAATTTGGCCTTGGATGAACCTAGGGGGCATCTCTTCCTGCGCGGGTCACTGATCTGCAACTTTCACAATTAATCCAAAGCATGAAATGGGGGTCATGGAGAGATCATTTTGCCACCAGGTGAGCTCGACGCAAAATAGGCCGAGTGACACTCCTAGCAACCGCCGAGGGCCCATTATTGTTACAAGCCAAACATCGTAAACGAGTTACGCCATATTCAAAACAACGCATCTAAGGCGCTTGCCCGAAACCCGCGGTGAAGTATCAATGGGGGGAAAACGGATTCCCAGGAAGGGGGCTGTCCCCACCAATCTTTACCCAGGCTTTTGGCAGTGGCCTCAGCAGTTTTGAAGCAGCAAGTCCAGTTTCTTAGGTTGCTTTCCAGAGAAGCCAAACGTGGAGACACCTCATCCCAATTTGTAGTTCATCACAAGTGAAACCACTATCTAGCATAAGAACTTAAGGATTGATAAGAAGCAGTCCGGCCGAAGAAACCACAAAGGGGCCCACCTTTTTTGAGCCCCACCCCCCTCAAAAACACAACTCCCCTCGGGGGGAGGGGGGGTGAGTCCCAAACCGGGGGTACCTTCTCCCGTGGGAACTGGTACCATGTGGTAGTTGAAAATCGCTATTGGTCCCTGGATCTATTCCGAGGAGTATCCAATATGCAAATATTGGACGGAGTTGCTCTGGATGTCCCTGCCTGGTTACACTGTATATTCCACTGCGTGGGATTACACACTGAAGACGGTCCGCTTTAGCTCCTTTTCCTTGTACTGCAGGATGTGCAATACATGAGTGTGAAAAGAAAGGGCCTTGAGCCAGAATGTAAGTGTGTGTGTGTGTGTGAATAGGTCAATTGTGAAGCAAAAGCAAACCCGTCCCAACTTTCAGCAAGCGTCTGTTGCACCGTGCCGGCGATGAGCAGTGGATCTTGCGGCACCACGGCCACTGCCTCCAAAGGACAGCCGAAGGGGAACGCGTGAGTGTTCTTTACGTGACCACGAAATGGATCTTGGCTTTCCTTTTAGATTCCCCAGAAGGAAACCACCCCAGAAAAAGGCAAGACACACCACAAGTTGAAAAAAGGTCCGCGACCCACTTAACACCATGGAAAACAAAGTTGACAGATTCCAGCCGATATCCCAGGCACATGCAGTTTCCAAAGCAAGCGCATCCTGTCGGTCAAACCGGCTCCCAGAGCTTGTTCTCTGAACGCAAAGCAGCAATACAGTCAAGCTGTGAGCAGCGAGACTTTGCTTGACAATGTATGTGCGCGAAGAAGCACATTCAAAATTCAGGCAGTACTTTAAATGGCCGAAACCACTGGCAAAAGAAGAGGGACTCACTTCTCATTGGCGACTCATGGATAGTCTTCGCAGGGGAGGAGTGCCAGTTGAGGAAAGCACTCGCGAGCGCCTTGCGAAGCTTGCCGAGCCCGATCTTGGAAATATCCACCCCGTCGATGAGGATTCCTCGGACTTGTCGGCCAAAGCACACGTCCAGGGAAAATCACCATGATAGTAACTGAACCGTGCTCCAACCATCAAGTTTTCCCCGGGCCCTACGAATGTCAGGCACACCGTGGGTATTTCTCCAATCAAACCCAAAGAGCACACTGCAGAAATGATCATAATTCACCAGCTGGAAACAAGGGATCCCTGAGTCCAGGCGAGTTCGCGGGAATTTGCGTGCTCCTCACAAATCCTAAGCGTTCGAAACACCTCGGGACTTGTGCCAGCTGGTTGCTTGTGAATGTGTTTTACATGTAATCATGGTCCGGATTTTGTGATGTGTTTGTTCGTTTGAGGTCTGTTACAAAGCCTAACACTGCAACAAAGAAAATCCACAACACCCACAAAGGATGGCAGTCTGACAAAAGCAGTTTTGACCTAGGTTGGGACTACATATTCCTAATGAGCCTGTTCAATGTGGCACGCGGGCCGGCGCCAAGAAGCACGATGACCGTTGAAAGCAAACAGAAGAGCAAACAAAGCTTGACCGCATGCGAGGCAAAACAACTAGGACACAAACAAACGCAGGTAAAGTATGCTCCCTCTGGAGGCACAGCGAAACTGAAGCAAATGAGAGCAACGGCCAAAAACAAAACAAAGGCAAAGAAAGGGCAAGCCTTTGGCAGGAGTAGTCAAAAAGCGACAATTCCAAGCATAAGATGAATCATGCAAGCAACCAACTTACCACAAGACGCAACCAATCAGTCGTAAGGCTTCATTCTTGCCTGCGCAAGGCTTCCTCATTGTCTGGGCTCACTTTGTCAGGTGGGGTTCAATACATTTTTGAATTGGGGTGTCCAACCAGCCAAGCAGCCTCATTTCATCCCCTCCAACTCCTCGGACTGGATCAAGAACCCTATTGAGGCCCAACGCGCTATGGACACGAGGAACGTCGGGCTTTGACCCCGAAAGTTTTTGTTATTGAAACTTGGCAAGTCACCCATGTCCCGAACACCAAATTGACAATCGACTACAGTCCGTCGACCGTACTGGAGATTTGGACGGGTTGTTTTGGGAACCCCGCCAGCCATTTTTGGCAATGCTCAAAGTTAATTACTTGTTTCCCCAAATCATGGGACACTTAGCCAGTCCTGTTTTTTGCCATCCACATTGGAGCTTGCCCCCAAACCGCATGTGGCCAAAAGTTGTTTGTCTAGCCGAGACGCGGCCTTCCGTGGCCTCATTCAAGCGCAGGAGCAGGACCATCCTCGGAGATCCGCGCGATTGAGCCCAACCCTGGAACCTTTGGTCTTCCATGACACGCTGAAGGCTGAAAACCCTTGACATCCCTTGCAATTCGGGGTAGACACCAACATAAAGATATCATGGGGATACGTAGCAAATGGTTTGCTCCCTTTTGGTTCCCCTTTCACAAGCCCTTCCAAAGCGGTGCCCTTGCTGTTGGTCAAGCACTATGCTGGGCAACTGCCTCAGAAGCTTTCTGTTGCTGAAAGTCATCACACCCTTTTGCATAATGCTGGTTGGGGATTGGGTTGACATTTCCTTACAGTTGGTTCACGCTGGCTGCAAGCCGCGGGGCAGTGTGCTCTTGCCAGCACCAGAGCGGCCAACGATGCCCACCTCTGCGATTTCCGTAGTTGCGGTCAATTTTTGCCATTGCCGGGCGCTGGTCACCATCCGCTATTTGGATCAAGTTTTGACACCCCGTGCCGAAAATTCCACATAGCGAATCAATGGAGTGGACAATGTGATCTTGGGCACCTTGTCGGGATTCAAGCCGCCTTAAAGGTGTGCACCAGCTGCCTTGTCAAAGCAAGATTGTCAACTATCAGCAGCTCCACGCCTAACTGATTCACATGCTACTGCGTCATCCTTTGGGGTCCGTAGTGTTGAGACAGCAAGATGCAGGACCTTCGGTTGAGGCAAAGCAAGGACACTCACCAACCAGTTTGCAGGGTGCTCGACTGCAAGAGCAACCCATCACTATCGGCGCCTACATTAATCTTAACCCCGGATTAATAAACCCCAGGTTGATTAATAGGGGGGTGTCCCCTTTTAGTGGGGATTCATCACTTTTGGAGGGAACACCCCCCTAATAATGGGAGGGGTTTATTAATCCTGGGTCAACATTACCGTGCATATACTTGTCAAACGAAATTTACAAGGAACTTCCGTGGTACGGCAACTAATTGAAAGATAGCTCTCGGAGGCATGAGGCAGATGCCAAGAACACATTCTGCGCGCGCAAAAAAAAACTACGCGCACACGTGGCAAGGGAAAACACATGTCAAACAATGCAGCCCAAGCGGAGCACTTTGGCGAGGTACAGATTTCATGGCAGGCGCAACATTTTCGCAAGGTCAGGTGCGAATTTTCGTGGCAGGTGCAGAACTTTTGCACGGTCATGCGCAGATTTCGTGGCAGGGGAAGATAGGTGCAAAGACAGACACATAGACACTTAGATAAAGAGTTTGATCGCTGGACAGATAGGTAGGTAGATTTGTGCAGTGAGATTCATAGAGAGATTGGAAACAAAGATGTGACTGCTTGATGGCTCGACAGATAGATAGAGAGATAGATAGATAGATAGATAGATAGACAGACAGACAGATAGATAGATAGATGGATACGGATTGACAACCAGATTCACGGCTGGTTGGATTGATGAGTACATAAACAAATCGATAGAGACAGAGAGAGAGAGAGAGAGATAGAGACGGACAAATGTGTAGACAGATGATGGATTGTTAGACAGACAGGTTGGTCGGTTGGGTCATACATAATAGAAGATAGATAGATCCACAGGTAGGTAGGTAAGTAGAGCTAGATAGGTAGGTAGATAGATGCACAGGTAGATAGATGCGTACTTAAACAATAGCTAGGTAGAGAGAGAAAAAGAGTTGGGAAGCTAAAGAACAAGAACAAACAACAAAAAAAGAAAGAACGGCGCAAGAATGAACAAAAGAAAGAAAGAAAGAAAGAAGGAAAGAAAGAAAGAAAGACACAAAGAAAGAAAGGAAGAAAGGAAGAAAGAAAGCAAGAAAGAAAGCAAGAAAGAATCGAAAGAACAAGAGAAAGGGAAACAATGACAAACAGCAAGAAGAGAAAGGGAAAGGAGAGCATTAGAGAAAGAGAGCTACTGCCCGTATTTTTGAAACTTCCGCCTGCCGGCCACGCCCTCTACTGGTCGCCCCAGACTGAATCAAGAACACTGAGTGACGCCCCACACCCAAGCATTCCTTTTGAAAGCTTCGCCTACTACCAAGTAAAGAGGTCGGCGCGCGCCGTCTCTCATGAGTTGGCTGACGATAGTCTGCCTTCCTGTGGGTGAAGCCTTTCGAAAGGGAGGGCGTGTTTTGTGACCAAATGAGTCTGGTTTTTTAAAGACCAAAAACTGTTGCTTCTTGCGTCGTTGCTTGGGCTGGCTGTCTTTCCTCCTGCCGCCTACCGAAAAGCACCGAGGAAAATGAAAAGTTTGCAGCGGCCATCTTGCGTAAGAACAATCACAGACTTACACACGCGCGCCGCACGAGTCTGGGGCGCCTTCTCGCCAGGCGACAGCTCAAAGGAGATCTTGTCCACGGCTTTTGGGAGGCCTGCGGGGGTCGTGTTCGTCGGCATGGGCTTGTCTCCCAGCACAGGCTCTCCGAAGCCAATTTGTTTCCACGCGGCTGCCTTTAAAACAGCCCCAAAACGGGCACCCTCCAAAAAAAGACAACCCCGCTCGCGGGACCCCGTAAAAATAGCAGCGGTTACACTTTGGCTTCCCTTTGAAGCAACCCCCAGAGAAGGCAAGGGACCATCTTTGTCGACGGCAGTTTAGTTTGAGGATGTTTCAATGATTCCAAATCGCGCGCGCCGCAAGATCCCTTCCCGACATGAAGCAAGCGCGCTTTTGGCTGTCATGGCCCCGTGCGAAGGCAGCCAAAACTAGAAGACGGTGGCCCAAAAGCATTCTTGGCGCGCGTGGTTTGGCAAGCGCGCGAGCAACGCACCTGTCTGACATTCAAGTGTGTGTAAAAAAGTGTTTTGCGAATGTTGCTCTGTGCAAGCTGCTCTGCGCAAGCTGCTCTGCGCAAGCGCTCTGTGCCAGTTGCTCTGCACAAGTGCTCTGCGCAAGTGTTCGCTGCAGCTTGCTCTTTGCACTCTGCACAGGTTGCTCTGCGCAAGTGTGTCCTTCTCTGACAACGCAACTTCTGACATTAACAACAGCGAGGTCCTCAGTTCTTGCACATTGACCACGCCGATTCCCAACACAACAAAACGTAGCAAAACTCCGTCAGTTTTTTTCACATTGACCACGCCGATCCGCGCAGAGGCTCGACCTGACACCAACAAGTAGAGTCCTCAGTTTTGGCGACCACACCGGTCCCCGCAAAGGGCCCCAAAAAGTGACAACGGTCCTTAGCTTTTGCACATCGACCGCGTTGGTCCCCGCAAAGCGTTGCGCGCGCACCTCAAAAGTAGCAACGACCGGGTACCTCAAAAAGTAGTCTCCTTAGTTTTTGCACATCGGCCACACCGATCCTTGCAAAGGGGCGTGCGGAAACCTCAACAAGTAGCAACTCTTCAGTTTTTGCACATTGACCACGCCCAAGGGGGCGGCATTTTTCGCAGACTGGGTTCGGTCCCTTTGCGACGCGTTGAAAGATATCTTGCTGTATGTTAATCTCTTGTCGTTCCATACAAGTTTCTGGTGCAAGTGTGCTTTCTGGTGCAAGTGTGCTCGCATAGGTTTGCTCTTGTAAGTTGGCTCGTGCAAGTGTGCCTGAGCAAGTGTGCTCGCGGAAGTGTGCTCTTGCATGTGTGCTCGTGCAAGTGTGCTTTCGAGATAGCTCGTACATGTTTTCTCCTGCAACAGTGCTCGTGCAAGTACGTTCATGCAATGTGATAGCGCAAGTGTGCTCGTGCAAGTGTGCTCCTGCGCAAGCGTACCTGTGCAAGTTTGCTGGTGCGACTACGCCCAGGAAAGTTGGCTGGCGGTTTTCCGGAACCCCTTGCAATGCTTTCGGGAAACAAACACCTTTGACGGCTCCCCCAAGCGGCCTATTTCCCAGCCCCCCCCCACGTCTTGCCAGGCCTGGACGGTAGATCAAGGACACCTCCTGGGACCCAAGCTGGCGGAAGGAACCGCTGCCGTTCACAGCAACTGCTGACCAGCAAAAATGCGGCCAGTCCATGATTGAACTTGAGGCACGACCCCCAATTCGTACACCGCCGCAAGTAAGCAACAGAATGGAATGGGCGCCCGAACAGGCGCCGTCGATTCTTGGCACCAGATCAGAAAGCAGGGGCTCTTTGGATCATCCCACGGCAGACCAACATGGAGGCAGCCCCCTGTGAAGGCCATGCAATGAATGTACTTCATTCATCTGAGTGAGCTCTTGTAATCTTGCCCAAACTGTTCAAAACCCAAGCTGGAGACAATGGCACAATCCCCTAAGCACAGCATACGCAAATTCGTGGGCATGCCGCGCAGAAGAGTGACGATCAACTAATTTGCTGAATGTTGGCTTGTGAACCGTGCAAACTTGTCCCTTGTGTTGACATATGAATCTAAATAGGAACCGGCCCAGAATGATTGCTGGTCCTACATCCCTTTGCAAGTGATGCCATACTGAAAGTTCATCGAGGGAGTCTCGCCCGCAAGAAAACAACCCATCCTCAAAGGCGACCCGGCCCTTTGCCGGCCAGGTAGGCGGGTCATCCTCCAGCCGCCAGGCTGGCTCCTAAGCTCTCCAATTTGAGCCAATGACGCGAGCAGCCGTCCAGGCTGCAAACGTTCCATGGTCCATATCATGCAATAAATCGTATATATGAGTAATGAGCCGATTAGTAACATCAAGTACGGACTTGCTTGTCTACCGCCAGAAACAAGAAACAAGCAAATGAAGCCCAGCAACTGGGGACGTGCTTGGTAAAAACAAACGTGTGGCTTATCATGTAGCCCATATTGAAAGCATACACGGTTCCCCAAGCTCAATTCTGAATTCTCGTCATCTCCAACCCAATTGATTGCTGATGTGAAAGCTCCATTCCGGGCTTGCCAAATAAGAAGCACTGGTGCCGTTTAACACATGCGCCTTGGCCGGCCTTCCCGGATCTGACTTGAAAGCGATCTCCCATAGCTTCGCCGGGCTTCTGAAGGGAGTATGCCCCCGTTGCCGTACTGCAGGAGACGCTCCAAGCTGGTCAAAGAGTTCATGAGGAGCTGGGAGATCTGCCAAGTCTGAACGTGCTGTCCATAGAGTTTTCTCCAAATTGTGGTCCCTCAAACAATTGCAAACGTTTGCTTTCTTTTCGGTTTCCCTTTAAACATCAACCGAAGGGCGTTCACCATGTTGAGAAACACGCAGATCTTGCTCTTTGAAACGCTGGCTTCCCTTTGCGCCGCTGTTTGAACTGGTCCTAACTGGGATAACTACATTCTCCCCCACCCATGCACACCACTCCCGGTCACTCATAGAGCAAATCAACCATCATGCACATGGGAAGCACTGTGCTTTTGTTCTAGCAAGAGCCCATCATGACCGCTGAACATCTGCCAAGCACATCTTAGCTTGCAGCAATGATTGTCCGTGCCTGGGTCAAGGCTTGGAAGAAGTACCTTGCTCCAAGCCGCTGCCAGACTGTTTGAAAGCGCACCTTTGCCAAGGCCCCAACCAAGCTGCTAAGTCACATTCTCCCAGCTTGGAACCGCATGCGCTCTGACTGGGTGAAACAATCAGGCTGGGCCCAAGTGGCGGCATGTAGAAGCTGTAAGTCAGCGCCAGTGCAGCAAAGCTCGGCTTGTATTGGTCTTTGTTGGCAATGATCATGATCTCAGCCGGGCCATACTAGTTCCTCCTTGTATCTCTTTGTACACCAGGGGTCATAGGGGGTCATGAAAAGGCTATTCATGGAACCAAGCCTGCAAGAATGCCTAACTGACAAGAACTGGCGGTCAAGCGTATTGGTTGACTGCGGCTGATGCATTCACGAGTCACACAAACACACCGGCCGCTACTAGACGTGTTTGAAGCTGTCGGTAGGAACGGGGTTTGGGCAAAAGCGCAAATTACATAAATTCAGAAGTATGTCCCTTGAAACCGAACGCCCACCGAGACAGTCAGTCACCCAAATCGCCCCCTCTCCCCTTTTCGCAGCTGAAAGTTGAAGCGATTCCCCACTAGTCCTCACATTTCATAAGAGCCCAAGGAGCCTCACGCAAGAGACCTGCTTTGTGCTAAATGCGAGCTGCACAGGCTCCCCCATGTTTTCCTTCGCTTGGCCCAGAACATTGGGCGCAAGTACCGAATGGGTTCGTCTCAAAAGGTGGACCCCGCCAAAAACAACGGGCTTCTTACTTCTTCTTTTTTGGGGACACACCCAAATTACGGGCAATGCGGCCACAAGCCTTGCAAGTCACCACGGCTGAGGCCGCGGCTGAAGCTGAGCTTGAGATCAGGAAGCAAATAAAGTAAGACTCAGAGATCAGTGTCGTGGCAACTTCTTATGCGGCCGAGTGATAGTAACCTTTTGCAGCTATCTAAAATCTCTCTTTAGTCTGACCATTTGAACCATGGTACACATGCTCTCAAAGTCTGCCGGCTTGTAGCACTGCATCATCTCTTACACGGCGCGGTGGACACGTTCTCCCTTCTCGGGATTTCTCAAAGAATTTGCAAAAGACCTGAATCCCCAAACTTCAAACAACCTCCCAGAAATCATCTGCACAGGTTGGTCGCACTCAGCAAATGCCATCGGGCACCTGCTTCAGCCAAGGGACACACATCCCTCCAGTATTGACAACAGCAGTGGCTGACAAGCTGAAGCTGTGGTACTCGTCCAAGTGTCTGCACAATCTGCCTCGGATTCCGCAATAGGCTCCTGCAGCACATACTTGGAAGTGATCACTGTCATGAAAGCAAACCATACTTGACATAGACAAGTGTTCTAACCTCTAAATCTTGCTCACATGAGCCCCGGACAAAATTCTGAACATTGGGTTGTCCCCCGCTCCCCCCCCTCAGGGGAAATTCGGGTTGTGCCACCACGTCCTTCCCAAAACACAATCGATCCGTAAACTTGTCAGTTGCTCAAGCTCTCTCCAAGGCACGCTTGAAAAAGTCAGCTGCATTCATGGTGCGCACAACATGGCGTCCATTCACGCACTCGTTGACCTGCGCAAGATGCTCTCATTCAAGGCATCAAAATCCGCACGGAAGGCAAGTTGTCACAGGGGCTGAACACGTCCTTTTTCCGGCCTGGCAGCGTTCAACCCAAAGTTAGTTGACTTACTGCCTGGGTGAGCAATGCTTGTCAAGGTCCTGTGTGAGCAATGCTTGGTAAGGTCCATAGATAGCCACCTGTGAAAGGTTGCATCACACAGGCGGTGAGCACTGACACAAGTAATTGGGAACATGAACAACCATCTGAGTATTTGCCCATCAAATAATCTTGCCACCGTATGTGGGGAGCAAGCAAAGAACTGTTTGAAACCCCAAAATTTAAGTGGAGGATAACCCAGCGCTTCCAGTTTTTTACCTTTAAACAGGAAACTAGGGAACACCAATTGAAAGCTAAGGGAACACCTCTTTTTTGAGGGGACCCCCAAAATGGTGGGTTTCCAAGCGGTTTCCATCTAAAAGAAAAAATCCCCGCAAGAAAAGGTCCCCCCCCGCCAATATATTTGACACGGCTGATCTCGCTGAGGCACAGTTGTCAGCACGGGCGCCATGGCAGCATTGGCCAGGCGCCGAAGCTCGCGGTTGGTGCGGTTGATGATGACAACCTGTCGACCAATTCCGTTTGTGTCAACTAATGTGAATCCCGATTAAAAAACACACTGGTTGAATAATTGGGGTGTCCCCTTTCAGTGGGGTTTCATCACTTTACAACGGGTTTGTTGGTTTACTTGATCAAGGGTGCTTTGCTTGTGCCCAAAACGAGCATACACTTCCCGTCCACAACGTGAACATGGATTGCCATACTGGAGCTCCCAAATCCATGGGGCTGCGGGATCTAGCCAGAAATATGTTGCCTGATCCGCTTAGGGAGGGAATGCCGGCATTTCCCACACTCCCTTGAGTGCCGGCAAGAAAGCCTGGAACGCGGGCTGAGACGATAGAGCAGCACAGTATGAGCTAAGGGCCAAGTGGCCAGCAAAAAGATTAGGTGCCATATTCAACATGCCTCCGAAGACATGACGGGGGGCAGACTTCATGCAGGAAAGAAGCTGTCAATTTCAGCGCAGAAACCCACCTCTTTAACACAAGCATAGGAAAGCCGAATATGACCGGGAAAACTAATCGGCCAAAAATGTTGCGCACCTACCACCGGCCAATCATCAGCCCAATTTAAGGCTCAAATCTGCCCAGTGGATTTCCACTTTCTTCATGGCGCCACCATGAAGAAGAGCACCGCTGCCACCACCATCACGGGGAACATCAGGTTCACCACGATGATCACTTGCACGCAAAGCATCAACGCCTGAGCTCGAGCTCTTGCGCAGCTGACTTCGGTCGGTCAGTCGCCAGTGCGTCCCAGTCATCTGAACTTTGCCTCCCAAAGGAGATTCCGGGTTCAAACAGCGACTGCGAGACCCAGAAAGCCCTAATAACGAGCTTGTGACCTGATTGGGACCCTTGAGATATGCACATGTTTCCCTGCAAGCAAACGGTGTTTACTGTTTCGCGTTGGACAACATTTTTGACACAAGCAATCCCACAACTGTTCAATTCCCAGCTACTTGCTTGGCTGCGATTCTTGAAACCAGGACATCTTCCCTCTTCAAGAGGTATCACGCCAGTGGCTGGGTCGAAATGCGAGTTTACTCGTTTCCTGCTCCGATTCCAAGAAAAGCCACTTTGACAGACCCCATGAGCGACAGTCTTGGCAAGTGGGACGAGCAATTCCACAGGCATGAGCGTGCTTTTCGCCGTGCCAAGCGGGGCTCCACAAAACAAAGCTGCAAGCCACCAGACCCACGGGGAGCCCCAAGCATTCGTTTGCCCCTTACTGACCCGAGTAGGATGAGATTTCCGCGGCGCGTTCGCGGAGATCTGCCAGTTGTTGTCGAGCCACTTTGGGATCTCCTGACCAAAGCCGAGCAAAAACAGGGAGCCGAATAGGAACGTCAGCGGAAAAGGCGATACTTTGGGCTCTGACCCACTCCGGTGGCTAGCGACGTGCGTATCTACTGTCGTAGGTCTTCAATGATTGCCGCTGCCGCTGGCCCTTGGTTTGCAAGTGAATCCTTGGAGGGAACCTTAAAAGTGAGTGAAACGACACGACGCTGCCGTCCCCGAGCACCCGATTCAAGCAAGCACAGCAACCAACTCTCAGCAGCACCAGTCAGAGTCCAGTCTTTGTCCACAATGGCAATGTCGTTCCTTGGCTGCATGGCTACCGTGCGACCAGCAAGATACATTCAATTGCATCAAGCCAAAGCGGCCAGCAACTCTGTGCTCTGAAAGGGCAAGCATGAGCTCCCGTTCCAAACACTTGTTTGTCAAAGAAATCAGCACTTGGAACGCCAACTGTCCATGTCCGGAATTGGGGCTTGGCCTGGCGCTGTCAAGCAGGCTGGCTGCTGATGTGCTAAATAGGCCGCCCAGGAGCAACACCAATGCAAGCAACAGCTACAGCCTCTAAAGCATAGCAACCACAACCAGGAGGGTGCTGTTGCGCCTGCTGTTCCTGCTGCCGCTGCTGCTTTGGGCCGTCGTTTGTGTCTGTAGCTCCGTTGTCTTTGATTGTTGCCGCTCTTGCTTGCTCACTGATCAGAGAGAGGGCGGACCCCTTGTGAATGGGCATTAAGGGGCGCAGCCTCTCTGCAGGGCCCAGCACGTTTGTAGGGTTCACAGGGCTACTGTACCGAGTTTAATAAGGGGTGAACGAATAAACAGCTGAGCCAAAACGGTCGAACGAGCTGTGACACCTAATGGGTCGCACACTGTCCCGTAATAATGTATAATTAGGTGAGCCTCACGGACGCTGCAAGCTCCCCCCCACCACACAGCCCACCCGTGCCATCCGCTCTACTGCACCAACCTGGATCCGAGGTGCGAAAATCTCGACAACATTCGGCCAGATGGTGTGGACTCAAAGAAAGACACCGGAGCATGCAGCAAGCAGCGCAAGCACTCCTGCGAGCGTGCCATTCAAACGACTAGTCCTGAAACAGAGCTGCTGGGCAATTTTGTAAAACATCGTAAAACACGTCTCTTGCGAGGGTGTTGACTTCATGGACCAGCCACCACCCTCGTGGGACCATCTTGCACTTTCAAACCCCTCCTTGTGCAAGTTCCGCGAGCTCCGCACCCCACCTTGGAAAGTGAGGTGTTTGAGCCAAATTCCTCCGAATGTCTCGAAAACAATGGGTGAACCTCTGAAGTGTTCTGCTACACTTGGCCAGGAGCTGATCGAACTTGGTACAGATTGGATGCTGCACAGGGATGCCAAAAGAAAAGTTACTTGATAGCACGATAACTCACCAACCTGAATTAACGAATCCATTGGAAAAGGGCCTTAGTGCACAAGAATGAACACATTGACACTCTGCAGCACGTCCCGACCTTCGCCGAAGCAGTAGGAGGCCATCCACATAAAGACCAGAACCATAGTCGCGGCAAGGGCATAGATTGCCTGGCCACGGAAGCGAAGGCAAAAGGAAGGCAAGTCATCAGAAATGCCTCACCATCATAAGTTATCATAAGTTTCATAAGTTTCATAAGTTCAACATTTACTCTCCTTCAATACAGCTCGACAGCCAAGTTGCGATATTCAGGTCATCATTGGAAGAATTACCTGCCGCATGAGCCCGCTTGGAGTCTGTACGCGGGTGTATGACTGGGCTTGTTGTGCCAGTGATGTCCACTCCTTCCACATTGTGGAAATCAAAGCAGTAGTGTGAATGCCTTGCACGGGAAAGAGCAACCGGCAAAGGTGCACACCTTTGCACTGTGCAGCGCATACAAGTTTGCGGAAAACAAGTAAGGTAAACAATGACCCACCTCCCTTAATTACTTTCGGCGGCTTGCGGCTTGCTTGCCTTCGGCGCCGACAAGGCTGGACTTGAACTATTGCCACTACAGATTTGGCACCAGAACACCTCCACCCCCTCTGCCAAACGCGACACTCGACACTTCCAGCCTTCCTTGCGTTCCTCGATCAAGTGGGCAAGCCAGAAGTCCACGAAGCCCAAAGTTCCATAGGCGGCAACCTTGCCAACACCAAGCCGAACTTCTGGTGTCGGCCCGGCCCGAGCTACGTGAATAACATTTTGGGCGACCTGTTGAATGGGTTCTAACACTGACATGGGTTCGGGCTCCTTTTAGATGCTACACACATGATGTCCTCTGGTGCAAGCTGGCACCAATTTATTGCAACACGTTTAGAATTGACCTCCTGAGTATTGAGCTGCACTTCCAAGCAGCTCATTTGCCAACCCCTTACAAGAGGCCAGCTTCAGGCATGCCAAGGCGCGACCAGCAGGTTGCACCTCAGAAAACACGTTGGTGAACATTCTCGTGCGGGACCCAAGTTCTTTGAACAGGGGTGCTTGTCAGCTGTCAATCCGTGTGTGGTGCCTCGTTGGTAAACCCTGGTCTATGCTAGAAGCACCTTTCAGCGCACAGACCGGTGGGATCTGCACAATCCGCTCAGCTAATTCAGGGAGACTTCACGTTTTGCCCAGGCGCAGCGCAAACCAGCCATAGCCCATGCCGGCGATGTATCTGAGGAGAATCGCCAGAGGCATCGTCCTGAGGTGTCCATGGTGCTCTGGCACTTTGCTAGGCACCAGACAGCGCACGGTTTGCATTGGGATATACAACCCTAGCCAAGCAGCCCCACCAGCTTCTCTTCTTCCTTGGGATGCGAAAAGACTCGCAAAGAAATGCATACATGCCAATTGGGGAGATCCAAAATATGGGTTCTTTGTTTTTTTTTTGGGGGGGGGCGGTTCCGCTATGTTGGACACGTTGATCTGGATTGGATATGTTTGAGGCAAGACTCCCGCACCAAGTCCTTCACATCCTGGCACTCAGGGAGACAAGTGCGCAAAGACAATATGCGCTGTCAAGATTTATCATTGTGAGCCACACCCATTTGGAAATCTAACGAGTGCTCTGTCATGTTATGGCTGTCCTTTGAACCAGGTCGGGACCCAAAGCTTCTTGCCAGCACATGAAAATGGCCGTCTGGTTTCGGAGACTCTTTTCAAGGCAGCTCAAAACGCTAAGGATCCAAAACAAGGGTCCACCCCCGATACAGCCACAATGCAACCGACCACTCCTGAGTGTCCTTGGCCGTCTCCTTTCCTGCATCCCCTGCGAACGCAACAGCGTCATGGGGTTATCAAGTTTCAGCCTTTTTTTCCTGGGCACTGGCACATGTTCCACGTTGGCTCGCGTCTAGAAAGGGGCCACAAGGGAGGGGCCGCATCTGCACAAACAAGAAGATGCATCATCAGTTCCAAGTAACAAACTCGTGTGTCTACTAGCCAATCACAGCTGAATCAACAACAAGTGCTGCACAGTATGAACATACTGGAGCAACGCATACCGGACAGCGGAAGGTTGGTCCTTGCAGATGGGCAAACCCAAACATTACAATTTTATTGAGGAAAACAAGCGTCCCCTGAACATACACGCTATCTCAACCAACTGACCATCCGCGGATGTTTCCTGGTATCTAGGTCAATTGACCATCACATGGGTATCCCCACATGTGTCATCTCATGCTTCCACATGGTGGTGAATCACGCTGGTCGCCTTTGAAGGCAGTCTGCAAACGGTTCCTCCTTTCCTCCTCGTTTTAACTCACATACACAGACAAATGGTGCTTTCCCAAATTGAGCGTAGTGGTCGAGGGGCACGAAGGAACATTGAGGACACAAACCGCGATCTTAGTAAACCACCGCGATCTTTGTGCAAACTCATGGCCTGGCGCTACTCCGGCAGACACCTGCCGACGAACCGAATTGGCCGCGCTGGAGACTGGCTCAACTGGGAAATCTAGGTGGACATCATGTGCAAGGCTGAGGACAAATGAGTATGAGTTTTGCTGGGCCCTTTGCCAGGCATAAACACGAAATGAACGCTGGGGGGCGGCTGGGAAAAACACGTTTAGGGGGGCCCTTTCACGGCAAACTTTGGTGGACATCAATTGCATGACTTGGAGCTCTTAAGCATGAATTTTACTGATGGCGCTTTGGCACACATCAAGTAAATGCGAGTCAACATTTGGGTCCTCACGGAGAACCATTTGGTGAAAGTCATTTACAGTACATGAGGATGAACGCTTAGCGCAATTTAGTTCACACTCGAATATCAGTTACATGGGGACTACCGCGCCTGGTAGTTGGTGTGAAGTCTCTTTGGGAGCCCCTTAGCACACACCATTTACGTGAGGATAAACGCTTGAGGCAGTTGGGTCTGAGTTTCGTTGTGGGCCTCTTGGCGGGAATTCCCGTTTGGAGCATGGGGCAAATGGGTTTGAATTTCTATGGGAGCTGTGGAACGCATGTACTCTACCTGTCAGCCTCATCAACCTGCCTACTCATATCTCTCAGTTCGGCAGGATTCTTAACATTGGAGCAGTGTGCTCGCATGCTCTGCGGTCTACAAGACCGTTTCTGAATTGTGCTTCGGCATGAGAGAAGGGGGATGCTGAGAACTGGTCTTTCCATGATCAATGGGCTTCTGAAAATCAAATACTCGCTCAATACAGCGTTGCTTTCCGAATCAACGCCGTAAGCAACAACATCACGGAGTATGTCCCAATCTGAGGCTGAGTTTTTGTGGATTGCGGGCAATCTTGCATAGTGTTTTCAAAGATCAGAGCAAGACACCAACTGTTTTTGGGTCAATGTGGAAACAGCCCGCCCACCTACCACCTACCAAGTAACCTCTTGCCAACGGACTGCGTTCGCCCGACGCCTTTCGCGGGCTTTCGCAAAGCATAGCTGAGGGGTCGTAACCGGAGGATTCGCAGAATGTCCTGGCGAATGGGCTATGAACAGTCCGTTCGCAAAAGCTTCTGCTTCTGGCGACTTGAGCTTTGTCGCCCCTCTTGCAACACGTTTCTTTACGGCCTGGTATTCATGTATGAAAGTGTGGTGGGAGAAAAGGAGAGAAAATGAGAAAACAGGAAGAGGGAGAGAAAAGCAGAAAATGCTGCCAAAGGCTGTTTGGCTACACATTGGAAGACAACAAATGTCCTCTTTAGCAGCTAACGTTCTTGGACTGCGCAACCTTGTCAAACCGGAAATCCATGATTTGGGGCAGCCCTGCTGCGTTACAGAAAGCGTAATTTGTTTTCGCCCACTCAAGGGTGCAGCGGTGTGATCATATGCCTGCCTAAGTGGCCCGTCGCGCGCAAGCAAATCGGCCGGAGACCTCAGCAATTTCGAACTGCCGCATTGGGGCGACAAACCTCTCCCGCGCAATCAAAACCTGCTCTCTTAACCAAACGGAGCGAGCCCATGCACAAAAAGCAACTGTGCTGGTCCATGGTTTGAAATGGAAGGAATTGCTTGGATCCGAAAAGCCAGACTTGGACTCGCCTCATACTCCCCTAATCTAGCCTCTATATTGCGTTGGTGGCCCCGGGAAAGCCTACCACATGCCCGGTCTTCGTCTGGTCGTATCAAATGGGCCCGACTTTTTGAGTCCGCGTCTGGCCCACCAACAGCCCAAGGTTGGCCAGGTCCAGGAGAAGCCCAGCACTTCGTTCGATTCAATCAGTTTCGCCGCGCAACGATTTGGGTACTCCCCTGCCGTAGTGCAAGTTAAACACAGGGAAACCATCCCCGTTGAGGGCAAACCCAAGACAGGACATAACACATGGCATACATGGCCACGTCTTGAAAGATGCAGAACCTCTCAGGTCGGCGCCCCTGCTCGACGATCTGTCCTTGGCGCTGCGCATGTGATTGCGGAAGGGTCCCGAAACTCTGATTAGAAAACCATTCCGGAAGAAGTCTGCGGTCAGCCCTGCCACCCCAAAAACAAGTTGCTCTTTGTCGCGGGCGCAATGGAGAGCCCCCAACGCTAAACCCAGGAAGCGGTAACAGGGCCCCCAAATTCCCTTGCCAGCCGAATCTTGACGCTATGATCAATCCTCTGTTTTCTCTGTTTAGCCACGTCCAGGCGCAGTGGCCGGGACGGCCATGAGACTGCCCAAAGAGCCGGACGGAACACCTATGCAACCCAGGGACCTAGCATCAGGCAGCAACCTCGTTGCTCTTCGTTTCCGCTCTACAACCCGCCTTCCCTGGACGGTGAAGCCGGAACCGTCAGTGGTCTCACACTCACCATTGCAGCTTCGTAGCCAATGCATCGTTCTTGCACGTATGTCTTTTTCCTTGCCCCAGTTGCTTGTCCCCCCTTGCTGGTGCGTTCGGCCCGGGAGGCTCCTGAGCCCAGGCTCAAAAATCCTTGTTGGCGGTAATCCCTACTATCCCCAAGCAAGTGGGTCTTTTGATCATGGCACGTAAGCCTGTGTGTAAAAGCTAGGAATTCTTCATATCGGTTGATTCGATCTTGGCCTCCTTGAGAGGTCCACTCACACAGGACCTCGCGTTTTCAGATACACCCACACGCTCATGCTCCTGGTCCCTTCATGGGATAAATCGACCATGAATAATGCTAACCGATTTCCAAAAAATAACAAATATACCATGAATAATGCTAACCGTTTTTTCCCAGGGGAAAAATATGAAACAATACAAAAATAATATAAACTAATTCAAAAGAATCACCTTCCCCCCACATGAATGAATGAATCCTGAGTTCCCCAGCTCACACAAGAACCTAGAATTCCCATTGGGATCCATGCAAAATGCAATTTTTTATTCAGGGTCAGTGCTCCCAACCCTCATCCCCCATGGGATTTGCATGGTTTCATAGTGAATTTATCCATGGATCATGCCAGGCAAACCTGATTTACCATGGGATTTGCATGCTTCTGGCATCTAATCTTTATTCAGGGTCAGTGCTCCCAACCCTCATCCCCCGTGGAATTTGCATGGTTTCATAGTGATTTTATCCAGGGATCATGCCAGGGAACCATGACTTACCATGGGATTTGCATGCTTCTGGCATCCAATCTTTATTCAGGGTCAGTGCTCATCCCCCATGAGATTTGCATGGTTTCACAGTGAACTTTTCCAGGGGTCATGCCATGGAAACCTGACATGGGATTTGCATGCTTCTGGCATCCAATCTTTATTCAGGGTCATGAACCCTGAGACTCTAAATAATAACCAGACCATGAATAATGCTAACCAGGTTCCCCCATCAAAAAATAAGACCATGAACAATGCTAACCAGATTCCCCCATCAAATTTCCTTCCCAATCCTTCCTGGAATGCATGCCAGCCCACTCAAACCCTCATGAATTTCTTTCTCAATCCCTCCTAGAATGCATGCCAGCCCATGCAAACCCTCATGAATGTCCTTCTCAACCCCTCCTAGAATGCATGCCAGCCCATGCAAACCCTCATGAATTTCCTTCCCAATCCCTCCTGGAATGCATGCCAGCCCATGCAAACCCTCATGAATGTCCTTTTCAACCCCTCCTGGAATGCATGCCAGCCCACGCAAACCCTCATGATTTTCCTTCTCAATCCCTCCTAGAATTCATGCCAGCCCACGCACACCCTCATGAATTTCCTTCTCAATCCCTCTTGGAATACATGCCAGCCCATAGAATGCATGCCAGCCCATGCAAACCCTCATGAATGTCCTTCCCAATCCCTCCTGGAATGCATGCCAGCCCACTCAACCCTCATGAATTTCCTTCTCAATCCAGAACGCATGCCAGCCCACGCAGACCCTCATAAATTTCCTTAGCCCACTCAAACCCTCATGGATGTCCTTCTCAACCCCTCCTAGAATGCATGCCAGCCCAAACCCTCATAAATTTCCTTCTCAACACCTCTTTACACGCCAGCCCACGCAAACCCTCATAAATGTCCTTCTCAGCCCCTCCTGAATGCATGCCAGCCCATACAAACCCTCATGAATTTTTCCCAGAACGGATGCCAGCCCACCTTCTCAATCCCTCCTAGAATGCATGCCCGCCCATGCAAAGCCTCATGAATTTCCTTCTCAATCCCTTTCGGCCTTCTCAACCCCTCCTAGAATGCATGCCAGCCCATGCAAACCCTCATGAATTTCCTTCCCAACCCCTCCTGGAATGCATGCCAGCCCACTCAAACCCTCATGAATTTCTTTCTCAATCCCTCCTAGAATGCATGCCACCCCATGCAAACCCTCATGAGTTTCTTTCTCAATCCCTCTTGGAATACATGCCAGCCCACGCAAACCCTCATGCATGTCCTTCTCAATCCCTCTTGGAATACATGCCTGCCCACGCAAACCCTCATGAATGTCCTTCTCAATCCCTCCTAGAATGCATGCCTGCCCACGCAAACCCTCATGAATGTCCTTCTCAATCCCTCCTAGAAGGCATGCCAGCCCATGCAAACCCTCATGAATTTCCTTCTCAATCCCTCTTGGAATACATGCCCCATGCAAACCCTCATGAATTTCCTTCTCAATCCCTCCTAGAATGCATGCCAGCCCATGCAAACCCTCATGAATTTCCTTCTCAATCCCTCTTGGAATACATGCCAGCCCACGCAAACCCTCATGCATGTCCTTCTCAATCCCTCTTGGAATACATGCCTGCCCATGCAAACCCTCATGAATGTCCTTGTCAATCCCTCCTAGAATGCATGCCTGCCCATGCAAACCCTCATGAACCAGCCCATGCAAACCCTCATGAATTTCCTTCTCAATCCCTCTTGGAATACATGCCTGCCCATGCAAACCCTCATGAATTTCCTTCTCAATCCCTCCTAGAATGCATGCCAGCCCATGCAAACCCTCATGAATGTCCTTATCAATCCCTCTTGGAATACATGCCAGCCCATGCAAACCCTCATGAATTTCCTTCTCAATCCCTCCTAGAATGCATGCCAGCCCATGCACACCCTCATGAATTTCCTTCTCAATCCCTCTTGGAATACATGCCTGCCCATGCAAACCCTCATGAATGTCCTTCTCAATCCCTCTTGGAATGCATGCCTGCCCATGCAAACCCTCATGAATGTCCTTCTCAATCCCTCCTAGAAGGCATGCCAGCCCATGCAAACCCTCATGAATGTCCTTCTCAATCCCTCCTGAAATGCATGCCAGCCCCTCATGAATGTCCTTTTCAATCCCTCCTGGAATGCATGCCTGCCCATGCAAATGCATGCAAAAGTTCTTGGCTCAATACTACTTTAGATTTGGCCCAATTCTAAACTAGTATTCCCCCAAAGCAAAATAAGAAAAAACAACATGCCCAATACTACTTTTGAATTGGCCCAATTCTAAAGTAGTACTCGAAAACCAAAAAAACTGAGCCCAATACTAAACTCCTTTAAACAAGGCCCGACCCTGAAAATTATCCCCCAATCTTTATTTATGGTCATTCAGGGGGGGGGGGGCCCTATTTATTAATCATAGGTCAACATTAAAGGGTATGATTGACCATGGTACAGTGGCTATGGCCCAAACTCCAGCAATTGGTTGTGTCCTGGATATTAATCGTTAATCGTTATCGTACAAACAAAGAGCGCAAGGCCAGTACAGTAGGGAAAACCGCAGAAGATCATCCATGATACGGGTCTTTACAATCCCCTTCGAACACACCCATATTCTTAAGGATACGTGGGGAGTCCCAGACACTTGATGTGTCCCTCTCAACCGCTGCAAAGCAACCATCGGAGAGCATCAGCACCTGGTCGAAGTGCGGGAGAAGCCACGGCTGGTTCAGGACCACCTCGCGCAAGCGCTTTGGGAGCACCAGGTGTTGTCCCCCACGCATTACTTCATCAGGTGGGGTTGAGTGCGGCGATGGTTCGTTCGCTGCTGCTTTGCACAGGTCCTCCGACTTTAAAACGACTGCCTGGCTCAAGCCTGGTTTCGACATACGCAGCTGTTCATTCTTCAAGAAAACAGCGCGTCCTCGCTTGCTTGACACTGCTGGTTTATCACATGTCCTCGCCTTGCCAAACACCGGCCTTGCACTTGCCTTGTGTGCATTGCTCTATATCTGCTGACACTGTCCATGGTTTTGGAACGCCTCAAAACCCCAGCACGGTCACCCTCGACATGTGCACTTCGCGAATTTCAAGGGGTCCCGATGGGTCCCGCGTCCGCAGTCTTCGCTGGGCGCCCGCGCCAAGCAGGTCCGGCCGCCAGCCGCGAAGCTCTTCAGCGCCGTGAAGACCTGAAGGCGCTTCGCTTGGCGCACGCCGTGGGTGACTCAACCGCGTGTCTGCAGTTTCCCTGTAAAACCTCAAGGGAAACGCACGTCGTATGGGTGGAGCTTGAAACCTGAACATCGACATAATATGTGTGTGTGTGTGTGTCTCAAAGTAGGGACGCTATGGTTGGTTTCTTGTTTGGTTTCCTGTCAAATAGAAACAAACAGGGACTACACCATTTTGAGAACCACACACACACACACACACTTATGTGGGACTTTTTGCGGATGCCCTTTCAAGTTGGCTTCAAAGGAATGCAAAAACAAAAAATGTGTGCCATGGTCAAAACTCCCAAGGTGTGGGGTGGCCATGGTTCCCTTGTTAGGAGTTTCTTTTGGGCAACCCTTTGACAAAGGAAATCGACCGCCTAAACAGCCCTTCACGACAACCTGCAAACAAGGTGTTTGTGGTCTCCTTCCACCTTTTTGGACATCCGAATGAGTGTCCTACCTCCAAAGCAATCCTGAACTTGTAGGGAGACGATGAATTTTCCAAAAGTTGGCTTCAAATTATTTGACACCTTGGAACAAAGACTTAAGCGCAAAAGGATTCCAACCATCCACCGCATCCCACGCCAAGCAAAGCATCTACATTAAGTACGCTGCAAGACACATGCCTTCTCTCACCCTCTTGGGGGCCAGTCCAGTTGTCAAAACAAAAGGACCGGTTTGAGAGCCTGGTCCGTTTCATGCCAAGCTTTGTGGGTGGCGTAACTTTATTCAACCTGCCAACTTGGATGCGTGGAACGCCGCTTCACAAACGGCATAATTGCAGCTATGAAAAGTCCCATTCTTGCCCTGACTTCACCGACCACAGCAAGTGTTTCAACACAACTTGATAGGACAGTCCATTTATGCAGACTTCCGTTCGATTGTGGCTGAAACGCCTGAGCATTCCAACCTCGTCCGCAACCAGAGGATCCAGGGCCGAGATTGGATCATCTGCCTTGGATTTTCATCGGCGGCAGGCCCAACTGGGCTGATCCACTGGGGATGCTCTTGGTTTCCACATCTCCAAAAACAGTATCAATCATGAAGGCATAGTGCAGTCCCATGGACCCTGGAGGGCTTCACCCTAAGAAATGCCTAAACTTGCCTTCAAAATATCCAAGCAAGGTAGGGGGTCAATACCCAGTATAGTTGGGTATGGGTAGCAAGAGGCACGGGGGCACCCCCAAATACAACGGGAAAGGCCAAGTGAGCCGCGCTGGAGCCGTCACACGTGCAGCCAAAGCTTCGACTAGCAAATCCACATCCTGGTAAAGCGCCCGGGCGATCGACAGGCGTTGCCTCAGGTGAGACATTTGGAGGAGATTGCTACGTTGAAAGCTAACTCTGACGTCATGCTGCCTAGTGCGAGTTTGCCTCAAAACTAGTGTACCCAGGTTTGCTCAATCCTAACATGTCACCAATGTGACTCGGAAACCAAGCATGTGCAAATGCGGGGTCGCAAGCTTTGAAGCATTCATATACTGGGCTGTTCAAAAGAAGGAAGGGCTGGCCAATCCTAATCTTCAATCTCTGTATTTGACTACGTTGCCTCGGGGAAGAATTATCCTCTTTCCAGCAATCATGGAAGTGGATAGGGCGGCAGGTTGTTTCAGTCTTCTGACACCTTCCTGTGTTCCATGATTGCTGGAAAGCGGGCAAGGATTGCCCTTGAACAGCCCAGGCTTATCAAATAACTGGATATGTGACACCCCAAAGTTTCCTTTTGATGTCCCTTTATAGCAACCTTAATGCCTTCAAAAAGACAAACCCAAATGCCAGTTGCTCTGTTCAGCACCTGTTGCCGAGCTGCTGCTGACCTCCAGACAAAACCACCCCGCGCTCGCCCACCTCTGTGTGCAGGCCCTGCGAGGATTTCCGATGAGTCCGTGTTGCACTGCTGCAGATCAAACCCCATCATCTGGGCAGGGATTCATGTCCACCAAGCACCTTTGAGGTAGTTCCTTATTGCAAACCATAGTTATTTTAGAGGAAGCTCCTTTTGAGGGACCTCCTTTTTGGATCCCATACAAAGTGCAGAGGCTAAGCCTGGTATTTACAAATGGAAGCTGACCGGAACGTGTGGAAAACTACTTTCCTTCCGATGGACCTCCCTGTCCAAGTCCATGATTGAAAGGGGCTCCAAATGCATTCCCTCAATGCACTTTATTCTGGTGGTTCCCCTATTGTTCCCCACAATGTAGCCGCCTACTGTTGCCCGTTCGATATCGTCATTTCAATCTGCTTGATCAATTTGCCGCGCAAAGACCGGAGAGCAAGGGCACACGTCCATGTGCCTCACTGCCTGAGTGAATTGGTCAGAAAAAGCCCAGCGTTGTTGCTTACCACTATGGTCTTCCCCAAAAGCAGAAAGTGAGTGACCCTCTGACCCACCGGTTTTTTTTCGACTCCCGCCGGCCTTGGGCATCCTGGTGAGATCCTCCAGCAATGAGGCGGAAGACAGAGCGGCGCTCAGCGCCTCATCCTTGGCAAATCGTTACCGGCCCAAAGGGTAGGAGAAGGGAACCGTTGGGGTTTGTTGGCCATATGAAGCAGGGAACTCGAACAATAGGGATAAAGTTTATCGGATAAAGGGCTCCACCAAACCACTGGCAAGTTCAGTTCTCTGGCCCGTTGAGGGATGTTTGAGTCCAGATGAGCTCTGGCAGGATCCTTGCCAATCCTGACCTGAGCCAAGACGAGCCGAACACTGTTTTTTCTTGTGGGACAACCTTCGGGAAATACAGCATCAGCATCCTTGAGCAGGGACTCTCCCCAGTAGTGGAAACTCACAAAAGTTTCCTTCAAGCTGACATCAACTGTGCAAGAGGCTTGCGGGGCGCGGATTATATTCTCAAGCCTTCGTCAAACAGGTGCCAAGCCGGCTATGAGCAGTGAGAAGGTGTGGGCGCCCTTCGCACCCTTGAGCTCGGCTAGGGAGCTTCTTTCCCATTGAACCCATGCGTCCGGCTTTCATTCAAGCCCACAAAGGTAATTCTTCAACTGCCCTCGGCTCCCTTCAATGAGCACTGCACGTACATGTGTAAGCTTGCTTGTTGGTCTCCCTGCACGGAGAACCCGGTTATCCTACTCAGGACCTTGAACAAAAATGGGACGAAAAGGGAACTCTAAAGGCAATGAAGTCGGCTTTGGATACAACAGTGTTATTGAGACAGTGGATGACTGCAGTCCCCTCTTGCCAATGCGGAAGTCAAGCATGTCACTTGCACTTGTCCAGGTTCTGTTCCAACGGACCAGTTCTCCTGTTTCAGATGGAAGCTTGGGCAGTGCAAGGCGCACGCTCGTTCTCATCTGCGAAGGCCACATTCTCTCTGATCGTGCCACTGAGCACCTGGGCTCACTGCCTCTATCAATAGCCGGACTTGTTGTGGTCTCCACGGCACGTGAGCAGTACCGGTGGTACCTGGGTGGATTATAACCCCCAACTTTGATGGCCCGCCAAAATCCACTGATTTTGATGGCAATCATATGACTGTTTGTGAAAAAGAAGGGCGCCACAATGTTGTTGGTGTCCTGTAAGTGTCCTTTCAAACCCATCCAGCAAGAGTCATTTGTTCATATCCACATCATGGCACATGGACTGAGTGCTGCACAAAAGCCTTCTGAGGGACGAAGGCCAGGCCTTTGATGTTCAGGCACACCTGACCCCGGCGCACCTCTGACCCGTTGCGCCCGACTGACCGTCCATGCTTCGCTTCTTGCAGCCCCTGACGTCCCAAGATACCCAACCGTGCGAGCTTTCTGAGAGCCCCTTTGCCCGAAACAGGCGGCCCGATCCGCGAAACCCCGCACTGAGCTTAGTGTTTGTCCACGTGGGAAGACCAATGTGCGGATCAAAGGCCTCTGTTGGGTTGAACACGCATTTTTGCTGAGGAGCCCAGTTTGGAGAAAGAGAAGCAACAAGGCCCCCCCCGCTTGCGAAGCAAACGTGGGCCAAATGGTAACACGGTAGAAACATTGCTTCACTTGGGGGAATGCATGAAACATTGAAAGGGCAATTTGGCAAAATGTTGGGACGACACGACGACACCTGGCTTTCCTTTCGGACGCACATTCACTCGCTCGCCGACACGCCTTTGAGGAGGGGCACATGGGCATCTCCCCAAGCAAGGCCTGCACCAAGGAGCTCTTGCCGCTGCCCACCTCGCAAAAACGTGCGAGGTACCGCTGCAACAGCTTTCCCGTGTTTGGCTGTCTTGCTGCCATTGCTTTTGGGTGTGAAATTCTCCCATGATGCGTTCAATGTACGCCCTGGAACACCGTGATCCCTTGTTTCGCCGGTTCGATCAGATTTGTTTTGCTCAACATCGCGATCTTTTCCGCCATCCTTGGCCTTCTGAGCAACACCCGCAGCAATTGCTCACACGCCCGATCTGTCCGTCGGCCAGGACCAAACCCAGGATAGCAGCCCAGGTTCCACATTTGGGTTCATCCTAGAGGAGAATCCTCAAAAAGGGCAAGTCTCCCTTTGTTTGAACCTCAGGCAGTTACCCTCAAAAATGCACATCCATTTCAGCCACTCAGTCTCGGAAAAAGAGCCCAGACTCTGAGGTGTGGGCGCTTCCAACGACCGCCACAAAGGAACCATGTGTCACCTGCAGGGGATGTCCAAAGCATCGCACAGCGGAATCACTACGTCCTACTTGCTGCCAGGCGCGTTGCCCAGTGATCTTCTTGAGACAATTTACAGCGCTGTACCGCTCGCTTACACTCGCGCCTCTCCCACCGCGCGATTCATAGATTTAGATTCTTCAAGCCAAATACGATAAAACTCGGGGCACTCCGCGAGCTTCTCCCGGCTTCAAAAGGATTCGGTATTTCATGTGTGCCCATGAGCCAATCTCTCCGCCGGCTACGACAGGCACCCATGACTTGCCAGCCTTGCATGGGATTCGTCTTGCCACCTCATTGAAAGGGAGCGGGAAAAGAATCAGCATTCGTCTGCGCAAATAGTAAAACTAACTCACCTGAGACACACAATCACACACATCACCGTCAGTATCACAAACTGTTCTTCCAGTCGTGCTGGCTATTCAATTAAAGCACAGGGATATCTCCAACTTTCGGTTGGGCATTGGGTGAAGGGGAGCATTTTCATTTTCAGGGGACTGTTTCCTGCCACGTGTGGGCAACGTTTTCCTCAAGAGGAATCCTGATACTGGCTCCAGGAAAAGGATCCATGCCCATCGAGAGTCCCCAATCAAGTCCTTTAACCATGGCATATGAATGTGGCATGGATTATATTCTCTTCTCCACCTTGGAAATGCGGAATAACCCCCCCTTCCCACCATAAACGGATCCTTGCAAAATTGGAAGTTCTCTACATCAGCTTTTGCCGCCAGCCAAAAGAAGTACGTTTTGTTGATTGTAGCCCATATGTTTGATTGCAAAAACATCCTCGTGTTGACCCCAGTTGATTGGACACAGTTCCTTACGAACTGCTCTCCTTATAAACTGTAGCAAACAAATTCAAAGGAGAATCTCATTTGCCTCACGTTCCCTGGCGCGAGAAAGGCGAAGCGAAAACACTCCAACCACGGCCTTCAGCTCCTGCACTGCCAGCTCGCCCTTGGCAAGGGAACGAGTGGAGACGAGCCTGGGCCATTTGCATCTGGCGGGATTATGCTGAGATATGTCGTATATGTGGACACATATGTGTGTATACATATGTTGTATACATGTGATATTTTGCGACATAACATTAAAGCCTTCACTGGGGGTATTCTAACTAGCCTCGGAGGGTGCCCATTTTGTTGGCGCCTGATTTTGGACAGAAGTCCTGGTTCCGAGACTCCAATGCCGATATCGCAACGAAAAAACAAGGTGAGTCCGAGAACCCAAAAATGCAGCGCGGGGAGAAACTGGTTCTTTCTCGCTGTGATTGGCTGCGGCGGAATTGGGGCAGGGTGACGAAACTGCAGCGTCGGCCCCAAACAGCATTTTTGAAGCTTGATGTTGACCAAACTCACGTGAAAGAAGCACTGGCGAGTGCGAATACAATGGGTTTCCAAAAGCGACCAACTATGCGCTTCGTGTTCCGATACAACCTGCTGATCCATGGCTTGCAGTGGCTTTCACACCTTGCCATGCTGTCAGCCCCGTCAGACTGTCTCCATCGTGCCCTCTAGGCACCAGCTTTGCCCGGCACGAAGCCGGCACAAACAACGAGCCCATTGTTCAGTCGTCTTGCGTAAGCCTCACCGGGTCCCCGTTTTTGCATGATGCTCGTGGTCTGCGCACACTCGCGCCTAAAAACGAGAAACTCTGAACTCTGATCGTGGACCCCGCCAAACACTTCTGTGGCGCTTGCGCTGAAGGAAACCAGTTTGAAACACATGGGCTACTTTTCTTCCGTCTGCCAAATGACTTGCCAGCTCAACCGCACCAGCCCTGTCAGTCAAACACGACCGTGCTCTCCTGCAACGCCGTGTTTGCAAAGCACGACAGTTGAGGCTACCGTCGTCGCGTTCCACTGCGCCAGCCCCGCTAGCCTGCCCACGCATTGCCTTTCGGACACCAATTCCGATCGGCATGCTGCCGGCACAGCCGTGCAACATCTGATCTCGTCAGCGCCCCGTCATCCTACTTTCCTGGAAAACAAATCCGCTCGGCCTCGTCAGTCATCAGTCATCAGTGATCAGTCATCATGATGCAGTCATCAGTCGTCCGTCATCCGTCATCCGTCATCCGTCATCATCATCGTCTTCACACTCCCTTGCGACACCTGTCGTCCGTCGTCATCTCGCGTCCCCGGAACAGCAAGTTTGCTCGGCATGCCAATCACGAAACAGAAACGGCGCACAGTCAGCAGTGGGGTTGAGTCAGGGAAACCCCCACATGGACATGATCAAAAGCCAAATATCAACAACCATTCCTCTTTGTCTCCGGAACCAACTTGGAAATCGTCCCATGATCTCCTTCTCAAACACATCATCGCCGGTCATAAGAAGATCATCAACATGAAGAGATAGAGCTCCATGAGCTTGTCGGTTCTTGGCGTTGAGACCGGAAACAGGATCCATAAGGTGATCAACTTCTTTTCGCTGATCGGTGTTGGTTTCGGAAGCTGCTTACCGTAGTAAGCATATGTACAACGATCTGCTCGTGTTGGCACTAATCCGTATGAACGGAGCGCCAAATCTAGGATGTTCCGCCATCAGCGTGGTGCATCATTCAGCCCGTAGGCAGGTTTCTTCATGCGAGCACCAATGTGTGGGGGATATCCCAGTTCAGGAGGGGTTTGGCACGATGCTGATCATGCGCTTCTCCTTGCAGGAACGCTGTCTTCAAATCCATGTGAAAAATGTTCCAGCCCTTGTTTGCTGCTTGGATCGCGAGGCGGAAACCACTCCTGGTTGCAGCAGGACTGTCTGTCTGCTGATCATTTTTCGGCTTGTCCTGAAAACCCCGGAGGACCCAACGAGCCTCGGTCTTCAGACAGTTCCCGTCTTTGTCTCGCTTTTAGGGCAAGAACCCAGCGACCATTTCTGACCTGAACCTTGTGTGTGTGTCGACTAGGTCGAACCCTTGATTGTCAAGCCAAGATTTGCACTCGAGATGCTTAGCTTTGAGAAACTGCTTCTGATAGGCTGTTGTCTCAGTGGCTGTTGCTTCCTTCCGCTTCTTTCCAACGAGCGCGGATGTGGATGAAGCCTTCAAGGGTTCTTGCTTGGATGAGTACAAGACTACGAGTGCTCGGTCATCGTCAGTCATGTTCTTGCACAATCGGTCAACATGATTCTTGTCTGTGTATTTCTGACGAGAGAACCCACATCTATAGGATGGATTGAAGGTCCCTCTCACGCGTCCAAGAAGGACAGGGTTGCAGGGTTGCCTTCGATGTCTCTCGGAACCGTAAAGGATCCTGCAGATCTTCTGCTCGGCTGTCATCGAGAACAAGATGGGGCCTCGTCCTCTGAGAGTCTTCGGATTCGCAGTCTTCTTGGTCAGTATATTGTATGGTTCTCTGTGAACTTCCAGCGCCGGATGAAGTTGGAACGTGAGGAATGAGGTCTTCCTCACTGTCGGATTGCATCGGCGAATTGACTGGATTGTTCGGATTGAGATTGGATGAAGCTGCAGGATCGTTTCTGGGAGATGATCCAGGTGAATCTGGATTCTCACCTGGCTTGTTCTTCTTCCCAGTTTTCTGCTTCTTTGGTGGACTGCTCTGCAATGAGTGAGTTGTTCCCTCTTGCTCAAGGTGAGGCAGTTCAAGCTCTTCATCATTATCTTGTCCTTCAGGATTTGTCAGGATTGCTGGAAGCGGAGGTACCACGACAGTCGGAAGAATCGGTTGAGATGGCTGCGGCTGAGATGGCAAAGAGACATCACCCCGTAGTTGGTTGAGTCCACTTGCGGACGAAATGCTGTTTTTGCTGTTTGCATGCTTGTCATGAGGCGGATCTACTGGACTGTCTGGCGAGACATCTGGCGGCGCCGGTGGCATGCGATGATCGGGTCGATCATTCTGATCAGGCCGATCTGGAGGATCCTGAGGTGGATTCAACATGTACACGTCCGGTCGAGTTGGAGGTCTTGGATCTGGCATGGGATGGTCCGGTTGATCGGGCGGCTGCTGTGTGTCAGGCTGCTGAGGTTCATCTGGCAGATCCGCGGAATCTACCTCAATTGGCATTGGCTTGATGGCCGGTGCATCTGAGAATGAGTGATGAACAGATGGGAGCATCACCGCGCGCCACGTCTTCGGATTGTAATCTTCAATTGCATTTTGATGCAGGCAAGACCCAAATTCTGTTGAGCTGATCGGGTTGCCACAATGCTATGCATGCATCGTCTGGAGGTGATGTGATAGGCGTGTTAATGCCAATTATATGGTTGTATGCCGTGCATGCGTCGCATTGAGTGGATGAGATGCAAAGTTGTCTCAACTTCTCGCAACCATTTAACATGTTCTGGCATTGCCTGTCGTTCGGGTCCTGTCGCAAAATGTCGATTCCTTCTTGGAGGGTACTGCTTCATTGTCTTCTGAAACTTTTGGACTAGCGAATCTTGGATGACTAGTGGTTGAACATTCTTATTGAATGGAAGGTCTTGGATCTTAACAGCGTCGCTGCTGCTGGTCATGTTGAACTCCTTGTCGATGGCCTCCATTTCTTTCCTGATCGAACACACTTCGTTGTCAAGCGATTTCACCTTCAGGTGACGCAGGATGATGTGCGCGAGATCCTGACAGAACTGGTAAGGATAAACCTGTGCCAGCTTAGCCCTGCTTCCGAGAGTGCCAGCATTTCCCTCGAGTGGTTGATGCTGGTGTTTTACCGCACCGGTAAAATTTGTACATTTTGAAAACGGTCTCATTACCTCGGGAGGTAGGCAACGCATCAAGCTTGTGGGCTTGAGACTCCTGAGTCCGGATTCAGGATCTTTCAGTCCGTATGCGCAGGAATCAAAATCTCCCCAGGTCACGGATGGATGTGAAAAGAGTTGCTGCATGCACTAATACCAGATCTTAGATGTCTGAAGGTTTTCAATGATGAAGTATCTTCTGTGCTTCAACTGGTATCGCGCAATCGATGCCACGAATTGAACCATCGGGATGTAGCGCTTTCGCTTCTCCCAGACCTTCTGTTGGTCTTGTTGGACGTTCTGCATATTTGACCATGGTCCACAGACTGGTGCCATGAGGATGAGATCAGGCGTGGTTGCTCCTTGTTGATGATCTCCATAAACATGTGTCGTGCCTTGGGTGTCATTACGTCAAATCCATTGCGGATGTCAACTGGAGTCCCAACCTTTAGGAATCTGGCACTTCCTGCAAAGATCTCGAGAACGTGGACCTTTCCTTTACGTACACAATTCCAACGTGCCTGTTCAGGAATGGATGTCATGTCTTCCACCAACATGTTGTCTGCAGGCCTTGGTGGGAGTTGTCTTTCCGGCAATGCGTAATGGTTTGGAGGATGATGGCTTTGGAGTTGGTGTAAATGACACCTTCTTCTTGGAATTGGCTGAGGAGCCGCCTTGTTCTTTCTGCATGGATTCTTGCTCGTCTGGCAACAAGAGACCAATTCCAGGTTTTTTTTCGGAGGGGTGGTGACTTTGATGAGTCGAGTTCCAAGGTCAAATTCCAACCGTTGCTCCTTCCAGAGAAATGACTTTTCCTTTCAACTTGGATACCGCCACCTGTGAGAAGCTTCACAGGTCTGTCCAACACACCTTTCCACATCTCTAGCAACTCGGGGGCGATGCCTTGCTCAAGAATGGCCCGTTCGGATCCAATGTCATGTGCAGCACCGGTGTCCCCGATTAGTTCCAATGATATGTTATGGAAATCACCTGCCATGTTTGCCAACATGCACAAGTTGTCCTCTGAGAGAAACTCACCCCCGTTAGTTGATGGTTTCCAATCGTGCAAGGACGCGCCTACGTTCAAGATATTGTCAAACTCGGCGGCCCCTACGACACCTGTGTGTGGCATTTGTGTGACACTTGCTGTCATGATGCCCTCGATGCACGCAGCATAAGTGGTATGCTCACTCTGAGAAAGATTGGGATCGGCAGTCGCACTACGGATGCCCGTTCTACAAAACTCTCCCACATCTTCAACATCTTTCCTATGACTCCGTCTTTGTT